GTGGTGGTGGTTGTCGTGGTGGTGGTTGTTGTTGTTGCTGCTGCTGTTGTTTTGCTTGTGCTCTTGTTGTTGCTGTAGGTTAGGAGCAGCAGCAGCAGCCATGGCTTGGATGCTGTTGGTGCTATGACTACGTGACTACATGTTCTTGTCATCATTGGTGGCTTCGAATAAGTTTGCTCTTATCCAGTAAGTGCAACTTGCACCCGAACTGCCCATACACTCCTATGTTGAAAACCCGTCAAGATTCATTGGGTTCAGCTTCAAACCCTGCTTGGAAGATGACATGATTGGCCAAGTTCGCCAACAGGGCAATGAAGCAATCAAGCCTACATCTATGACATATGCCTTCGCTAGCTTCGTAATTTTAACACCGAGTGTTCTTGCATCCCTACCTGCACCCACCCATGAAAGTTGAAGTGCGGCAAGCCTACATGTATGCAGCAGTGCAGCTTCGAGTAGATTGGGAGTTGAAAATCTTGGCCCTTGACCCTACTAAACCGTTACCCCAGAAACATGCCCTAAATCCTAGACCCCACGGAAGTAAATAAATAAGTAAGTACCTCTACATACAAACACATATACATATATATATATATATATATGTATATATATATATAGGTATATATTTATACACATGTATATATATATATATATATTCCATAACATACACACCCCAACAGAAGCCAAAAGTGCCTGCAGGAATTTTCCTGGAGTCCTCCAGAGGATCGTGGTTTACCCCGTTCCCGTTGCGCTGAAGTTCTTCGTGAGCCTTTCGTCTCGAAGCACCCAACACCAGATGTATTTTTGGGGCTTAGGGTTTAGGAGTTTAGGGTGTATAGGACTTACACGCCATTATTCCAAAGCCCCGCAGCCTAATTTCTGCTCATTGTGTGTCGTTCAACGTGTGCCAGGTGGATTCTTGATCCAGTCGTCCGAAAGGCAAGTAGTCGTTTCTGCAGTGTACATGATGCGAACCATGAACCCGTGAACTCGTGAACCTTAACCCCCTAAGCCCTAAAGCCCTTACGCGCCAAACTTGGGTTGCAGGTTGAGTCGACGACGGTCCTACGGCCCTATACTAAATCCCAAACTCGACCCTCAACCCCGAACCCTCATAGTCACCGGTAGAGTACGCGTGTTGAACCCTTGAACCCTAAACTCCAACCTTGAGCCTGGGTCGCATGGAGGGGATTAGGTGCCAAGCGTTTCGGTGTCTTACTTGGAGGATCATGGGACTTAGTAAGGTTATAAGTCCCCTAATTGGGGTTATAAGTATAGTTACTTTAGTTCCCTAAACCCTAAACCCTAAACCCTAAACCCTAAACCCTAACCCTACTTACTAAGTCCCATAATGATCCTTTAAGTAAGGGCTTCGGGGGATGAGATCCTCGGGTTTCGGGTTCCTTTGTTTAGGGCTTTGGGTTTAGGGTTTAGGGTTTAGGGGGGTGATCAGAGTGTGGGGTGTCGGATTCCTTTGAAGGGCTCTAATAAATGGGTAATTTTAAAGGGGCCAGGGGGCCCTTAAAAGCTTGTAGTGTTCTTTTGAACGGTTCTAAGCGGCACTACAAGGGTTACGATAAGAGTTTAGGGTTCTTGTAACGGGCTTTTAAGCCAAAAACTTCGATATATGACTCCCAAAGGGTCCTATGTAACCTATGTACTGCTACGGGGGATACTGTCCCAAATCATAGTAGTTTTATCTTATACATTCCATTGTATAGGTTCGTAAGACCCTCTGGGACTTGATGAACTCTAGAGCCTAATCCCGCCGCCCAAAAAGACAGCCTGAGCAGCCTAAAGCCCTCAACAACTCCCGTAGACCCCAAACCCTAAACCCTAAGCCCTCAACCCTAAACCCTAAACCAAACAACCCTAAACCCGAAACCCTAGACCCTAAACCCTAGAACCTTAGAACCCTAAAACCCGAAACCCTGGTCTTGTGAAACTCTGTAAGGCGCCTTCACCTAAACTTTTAAGTCCCTAAAGCTGTAGGCAGTACTAGGGAGACCGCTTAAAGGGGACCTTTCTTAACCCTACTTCTTGGCTCTATGAAAAGGGACCTTATTGAGAGGGTTTATGCCCCCAAAGGGTTTCCCCGATCCCAACTCCTAACCCCTAAGTCCCTAAACCCTAAACCCTAAGTCCCTAAACCCTGAGTCCTTCAACCTGCAAGACCCCTCAGACCATGAGGCCTTTGCCTGGCTCTGGTTGACACGAACACCCGAAGTCGCTGCGTGCTTATCAGTGCGGCTTATTTGCAAAGAGCCTTTGGGACTCAGGGTAGGATTTAGGGTTTAGTAGGGTTCAGGGTTGAGGATTTGGGGATTCTGGGTTCCAAAGGAAGCCTAGAGCGGTCAAGCACGAAGGCCGTAAACTCCCGACCGCCCTTTTCCTTAAACCCTAAACTGAGAGGTAAACCCTAAACCCTAAACCCTAAACTGTGAACTTTCGACCTATTGAAGGCTTAGAATTAAGATCAGGCGCCCCTAAACCCTGAAGGCTGAACGTTGTAGCAGCCCTAAACCCCAAACCCTCAACCCGAAAGCCTACGTAAAAGATTCTGCTAGCCAGGCCCGACACTAGAAACCCCAAACTTCAAGCCTCCAAAGCCTTAAACATCCCTAACCTTGCATTGTTTAGGGTTTAGGGTTTAGGAAACCTTAAGCCCTGAACCCTAAACCTTGAACCCTTAGACACTCTAAACCCGTAAACATTGGTCCGGAAAGTCCCTGGACCCTAAACCGTGACCATTTTGGCTCAAGTGATGGTGGTGTAGCATTCGGTTAAGCATGGAGCATGCAGCAGATTCGGATGTTCGATAGCTAGCAAGTAGCAGTTACACATGTCCACGTTGGCCTGCGCATGCTAGCTCGTGACTTTCGCTGATGTTTAATAATATGGGGGCCTAAACAATTACCTATACTATTTTGGGGGGTTCCTCAGTATAATTATAGCATAATATACGCCAAAACCCTATTCTAATCTGTAAGGCACCTACATTAGTTCAGCCTCCCCCAGCTTGCGATTGTATCCCGATTGCCACTCTCACATGGGGAAGTCTGCGGAAGCCAGGGTCCAAGAGATCGATGCCGCCGCCTTTCACCTTTTGAACGCCGATTTCAGCGGGGTCACTGCATTCAGCGACGGAGCGAATGCACTTTGCGAGAAGACCGTGGGCATTTCTCGCGATGCGTTGCTGCAGTGCAGGCGTTTGCGGCTGGTCGCACCTTGGCATTCATGTGGCTGGCTCTTTGGACTTTAACTTTTGGGGTTTCTATACATATACTATGTATAGATAAATATATAATAGAACTAAACAAATAAATAAGTATATATATATATATATATTAACGAGAATAAGTAGGCTAAAAGTTTAACTTTTGGGAGGGATTCAGACTTGAGCCCAGTAGCAGAACGAAGGGTTTCAGAAGTCAGCCGAGGCACGTTTGGCAAAGGTCTTGCGCCTGCTTTCTCAGCCCGGGGAGCGGCTCTGCAATGCAGCTCGCGATTGGGCCAGGACGCCCAACATCGATGCGCTTCTGGAACTTAGGGACATCGGCTTGGAAGAGGGTCCAGCCTTGCGTGCAGCAAACCCTGACCAGCTTCAACACGAGGTTTTCCAAGCAGCGCGCAAGTTGAGCCGTGAAATGCTGCCGAAGCATGTCGAAGAGGATCCCATCGAAGTTTCCCCCAGGGATTCGCAGGCCTCTACAGTGCCGGGAGAAGCTTGCAGGCCGGGCGAGTCCGAGGAGGGAGGTTTGAAGCGATACAAGCCCAGCAAGCAACTGGGCTTTGGAGTGCCATACTTTAATACTTTTTTCGGGGCCTGTTCCTTAAAGGAACCATTATGAAATGAAAGTCCATACTTTTTTCTCCCTGGTTACTTCAAAGCCCAGGCCCAGCAAGCAAGGTGTGCAGGGAGACGGAGCTGCAGAGCAAAGGCCATCTCGGGGTGGCCCCAACATCTTCGATGCCCCGTTAATCGGCGAGCTGCCTGCCTTCGAAGACGGTCTTCCAGGACGGCGGTCGAACAAGCGAGTGCACTCCTTTGCGCAGATGTTGGAGGGCGACTCCTTCGTGGCACAAGGTGGAGCCCCAAAGTCCAGGAAGGAATACAGTGCCTGGGTCCTTGTTGGACGCAACTTTACATTTTTGTCATAATAAAACCCAATAATTACATAATTTTGTTACAATAAGACCCAAAAAGGATACGAAATGACCATTTTTTAATATAGCCCCAACCGGGAGCCAGGTGCCTGGACGGAAGGAGAAGAGCAGCGCTTGCTCGAAGGCTTCCAAGTCTACGGAAAGCAGTGGAACATGATTTCCAAGTGCTGTGGCCTGCAACACAGGACTGTCTTAGGTTTTGGGGTTTAGGGTTTAGGGTTAGTAGGGTTAGTAGGGCATGGGGGAACGGATCCCCATGATAGTCCCTTAAGGTCCCTTATAGTCGTCCTTATAACCCATTCCCCATTCCCCAGTAAGCACCAGACGGAGGAGTGGGATGCAGATCAAAGACAAGTGGCGAATTCTACAGAAAAAGGGTCTCGTGCCGGCGCGCGGAGGCAAGGATGGCCGCGAAGCCGAGGACTGAGGAAGAGCCCTTCTGAGCAGGGTGGAGCGGACGGGGCCGAGTTGAGAGCGGGTTTTTGGTTGAATGTTTGTTTAGGGCAGGGTTTTAGGGCCGTTTCGGGTTTAGGGTCGAGATGTGAAGTTTTTTTCCGTCAAACAGTGCTGTCGAACTAGGGTTGCGTAGTATCCCGTGGACCCATAGGCATGGGAAAGCTGCGCCGTTTGGATTGGGAAGGAAGCATCTCTTAGCAGGTTCGCACGTTTATGAGGGACTTTGTTGTCGTCGTTCTTTCCCTGTCGTTGCTATAGATAGTTTCACACGCCGTCTCAAGACCACATGCCTCGCCTGGAGTGTCCGAGTGTGAGCGCTGCAGCCCTAAACCCTAAACCCTAAACCCCAACACAACAAAAACCCAAACCCAACCCTGTACCCAAAATTGAAAACCAAACCCTCAACCCTAAACCTAAATCTCAACCCAAGCCCAACCCTGTACCCAAAAGCGAAAACCAAATCCTCAACCCTAAACTTAAATCTCAACCCAAACCCAACCCTGTACCCAAAATCGAAAACCAAATCCTCAACCCTAAACCTAAATCTCAACCCAAGCCCAACCCTGTACCCAACATCCAAAACCAAATCCTCAACCCTAAACCTAAATCTCAACCCAAGCCCAGCCCTGTACCCAACATCGAAAACCAAATCCTCAACCCTAAAGCTCAACCCAAACCCAACCCTATAATTACCCAACATCGAAAACCAAACTCTCAACCCTAAACCTAAAGCTCAACCCAAACCCAACCCTATAATACCCAACATCGAAAACCAAACTCTCAACCCTAAACCTAAAGCTCACCAATTAAGGAGAAGACCGAAGGCGGCGTCGAAGCCGCCCTTCAGGAGTACGTTTGCAGCTGGGCCGTTGACGGTTTAGGGCTTTTAGGGCATTGGGGTTTGAGGCTTAGGGTTTATGAGTTTATAGGGTTTAGGGTTTAGGGTCTAGGGCTTTTAGGGCTTAGGGGTTCAGGGGCTTGGGGTTTATTAGTTTATAGGGTTTCGGGCTTAGGGTTTTATGGTCTACCGTATAGGGGGTTGGGGTTTTGGAGTCGTCGCAGGGGAGTTGCAATAGGGTTCGGGGCATTGAGTTTCATGTGCTGTGGGGAAGCTGGCCGGGCGAGCATTAATCAAGCGTGTGTAAAGAAGGGGGTCTAGGGTTTAGGGTTTAGGGTTTAGGGAGTGTAGGGCTTTGCACGGGTTTTAGGGCGGCTTCGGTTTGTTATGGGTGTTTAGATTTGTGGGGTTTAGGGCTTTGGGGTCATGGGGGTGTTTGATGAAGGCTGCTTGGGTCCCCCAGCAGTACCCTTACGCCTTTTGTTGACAGTGTCCTGTCTAAAGCTGAAGTCGAGGAGAACTACCCTTATGGTTATGCTTGTGTCTGATACTGGAGAAGTTAGTTCATAGGTCTTTAGCCAGTAGGTTTAGTGCTGTGGCCTACGGCACTTACACAGGTTTTGTTTGTTGATTCCCCTAAACCCCTAAACCCCTAAACCCCTAAAACCCCTAATACCCTAAACCCCCTTGAGGGCTGATTGTTGTTTTTTCTGTTACAGGTCTGGGTTGGGGCGCCCCAGTATGGTTGGCGTTGCTTTTGATGGGGTGAGCCTGTTTCAACGTCTTTTGAGAAACGCTTCGTTGAAGATGACTCCAGCAATTCAAAAGCCAATCCTCCAAATGCCACATACCAGACACTACGCCTCAAACCTGAAGAAAAAAACCCTAAACCCTAAACCCTAAACCCTAAACCCAAAAAACCCCAAAAAAAAAACAGCGCGAAGAACCGGAAGCTCTGAGTCCCCAACCGCTAAACCCCTAAGCCACTGGCCTTCAACCTTCATCCTGAAGAGTTGAAGAGTCCGGATCCTAAACCTCTAAGACCAGAGAGGCCTAAAGCAACAAAAACCCTAAGCCTTAAACCCTAAAGCCCCAAACATCCCTAAATCCTAGACCATAAACTTTAAACCCTAAACCCCAAATATCCCTAAATCCTAGACCCTAAACCATGAGCCCCAAGTATCCCTAAATCCTAGACCCTAAACCTTAACCCCTAAACCCTAAACCCTAAACCCTAAACCCTGCAGTGATTGCAGGAATTTTCAACATTTCCTGTTCAGGGAACTGTTCAACCCTGGAGGGCTGGTGGTTCAAACT